AGGGAAATTTTATTTACACCCACAAAATTTCTCTTTACACCTTATTACTAAATATCCCTTACTTTCAAAATAAAAACTTTTGTTTCTTCTAAATACACTCCATCTAATAAAATTACATTTCTTTTCATAACTTTTAACTCTCTATTTCATTCTCTCACTCTCAATCCAAATTCAACTTTAAAACCATCAAATTAACTCCTAAATCACAGGTTGTTTGAGTATTTCATTGATTGTAAATAAGATTTCGACATGATTGCCGATTAATTTGATTTAAATTGGTGTGAAAATAGTCTAGAGTTTACAATAATATTTCTTTGAATTTGAGTTTCTCAAAAATAGATTTTTGAGAAACCTTTAAAGGTCATTTTTTTAGAAACCATTAAACCTTTAAATGGATATTCAAAAGTTTTAAAAACTTTTGAAAAATGAAGACTCTTGGAAATCCATTTCTGAAAGTTTTAAAAGACTCTCGAAAATCTATTTTTGAAAACTTTAAAGTTTATAAAAAGAAATAAAATTATAATTTATTAAAAGATAAAATTAATATTTTATATATGGATATTTTTGAAAGAAAATATCAAGGTGTAAAGAAAAGTTTTAGTGATGTACTTAGTATTTACTATTTAAAAGTCCTCTTAGGTAAAAACTAAAAGAGAATGAAAAATGGTAGCCCATAAACAAAATCTGAATAATCAATTAAGCTTCTAATTTTTTATTGCAATCAATAAAACCTTTATATTTTTATTTTCGATCAATTAAGCTCTAAATTGGATAGAAATTGTTTAAGCTGTTAAGTGGAATTACAGGTGGCATTTCATAAATATGTGGCACATTATGGGGAAATAGTGGCTGTTAGCTAGATTTTTCCCAACAATGAAAGCACACATGGCATTTTATGATTGGTTTTAGGGGTTTATCTATACTATTTGGAAATGAAAAAAAACAAAGAAATTGTAAAAACTGAAGAAACACATTTTCAAATCCTTAATATTTCAATTTAAAAAACAACCCTAATTTGTTACTCTATTGAAATCCATAATCCCTTCTCGAATATAAAATTTCCTAAAATCAATTAAGCCAAATTGACTTTAAACATTTAAACCCTAAAACAAAATTTAAACTCTAGCCTTTGTTTCCAAATCTCAAAAATTGAAAGTGTAATTGTTGAAACCCTAAAGCCAAATCTGGAATGCTATCTATTTTTGAAAATTTTGGTTTTTTGTCTCAACTCAGGTGATGAGTTGACTAAGCCAAATCTTGAAAGGTTGTGAGGTACATTCTTTTCTAACCCATATTTGATTTGAGATTCCTTTTAATAGAAAAGTCTTAATATAGTTAAAGTTACTTTATCAAAGTTAAAAACGACAATACAATGGTCCTATTTGTGCTTATCTTATTGGGGTTAAACAATGAACAAACCTTAAAAGGTTGTTTGTATGTCTAATTGGGGTTTGGGATATACTTTTTTAAAATGGGTCCTAAAACATGATAAAATGTTCTTGTGTCTACTTAATATATTCAATGTTTGTCTGCTTATGCATTATTTAGTGTTTTTTGTTTATGCATGATAAAGTTTTTTGTTTTACATAGTTTTTGTATTGAGATATTCATTGTTTGTCTACTTATGCATTATTTTATTATAAAATGCAGAATGGATGATGAACTTGAGGTTATTTATGTGTTAAGATATTTGCATGGTGGTCAATTTGACATTAAACCTGATTTTGATTATATTAATAAAAATATAATTAGATTTGAGGTCGATCCTGAAAGGATATCCTATTGAAAAATAATAAAGCAAGTGAAATCATTAGGTTACGTGCACTTAACTTATGTTTACTATAGGCTTTTTAATACTAAGTTTAATATGGATGGGTTAGTATTGATACATGATGATAGGATTGTTATACAGTTGATGGATCATTTATTATATAGGGGACTATAGAAATATATGTTAAGCACAATGTTGATGAGCCTCACTTTGAATCTTTTTTTACTAGATGAGGTTAATGTAGAGAATGAGAAGACTAAAAGGGGTGAGGGTAGTAATATAAGGGGTTTAGATGGTAATGTAGAAGCTAAGAATACTACAAGAGGTGAGAAGAATATAAAAGGGTGATGGCAGTTTAGGTGGTGAGGGTAATGAAGAGGGTGTTACAAACTTGAGTAGCAAAATTATGGTTGGTAAAGAACATATTAATGAGGGAATTGAGTTTCTGGTCTAGGATACAACATTTAATAAGGATGAGGTTGGTAGTTCATCATTTAATGAGAAGTGTGAAGATAAAAATGGAAATGATAGAGATGTTTACTTTTATAATTTTCACTACAATACTGATGATAATGAAGAGATACAGGCCATTAAGCAAAAATTAAGAGATCTCAAAAAAACCATGGGTAGAGTAAGACATGTGGGTAGTTTTGAAATTATAGTTGAGGTAACTAATGTAGGAGATATATTAGGTGAGCGAGGAAATGGGTTTAGGACTAAAAAAGGTAGTGTGGCTAGTGTTGAAAGGGTTGATGAATGTGAGGTTATGGATGAAAACATAGAAAGTAACATAGAAGAAAAGATGAGAGGCAAAAAATTGATTTATATAGATTCTTCAGATACTGGAGAGTGTGCAAACAGTGAGCAATATGATGATGATTCTAACCCATCTTTGAGGAAGACATCAAGTGGATCTAGGTATGATCCTAATAGTATAATTATATTATGAAAACTAGGTATGAAATTTGTGTATAATAAACAGCTCAAATATGTTGTTAAGAAATATGCTTTTGCAAAAGGAATACAATTGAAAATTTTAAAAAATGAATAAAAAAGAACTAGGTTAGGTTGTTTGGAAGGTTGTTCATAGAAGTTTTTTGCTAGTTTTGATTCTAAAGAGAATTATTATATGGTAAAGACTTACCATCTTGAATATAGATGTTTTAAAAGCAATATCAATTGTTTATCGTCTAAAAGAGGTTTAAGAATAGAATTATAGAGCAACCTATTATGAAAGTTATGGATTTGATGAAGTTATGTAAAAAAGAGTTAGATGTTTATGCAAATTATAATACGTGTCAAAAAGTAAAAAAAGCAATGTTGAAGGAAAAAAACAGGACTGACGTGGATGAGTATGCCAAATTTAAAATATAAAAGTAATTTTTTTAAACCCATTAATTATTCTCTACACTTACTTTCTATTTAGATCCCAAATTTAAAATATAAAAGTAATTTTTTACTCATTAATTTCTCTATGCTCCTATTTTCTATTTAGATCATAAATTCAAATTATAAAAATAATTTATTACGCATTGTCCCTGACAACATTTCATATTTCTCCTAAAAACCTCTCAAACCCATTTTCTCTTTGAGTGGTGATAGCACCCCATAAGAACACGGCTCATGCTCCACTATTTACCTCCACAAAGTTCAAATTGTCAAAGCTAAGCTTAGAATCCTTCCCTAATTCAAATGCCCAGATCTTCAAAATAGCAGTTGACTTTGCTGATCAATAACTTCGATTGTCTTTTCATTTATTTAGATTTTATTAATAGAAGATTTTGAGTTTTAGTTTATGACCCTATAAAAAAGTTTTCTTTTTTTTCAAGAAAGTACAAAGAAAATCCCAGATTTTAAAAGATAAGAAATGTTTATAATGAAGAAAACCCATTTAACTATACAAGGTAAGTATGAGAAATTTAGCTCTAAAACAAGAAATCAAGAATGATACTTTAAAAATCCCGTTAATTCTAAGAATAAAAGAGAAAGAGAGAGAGAGAGAGAGAGAGAGCAAAAGATGAATGGCAATAGCCAGAATGATGATAAGAATGATGACTCAATGACTTCATGAGTCTTTTCTGGGCTAACTCATCACAAATTTCCATCTAGCAATGAGCAAAATTTGGAGATAAATCATCACAAGCATGAAACTATTAATTCCACCTCAACAAACAAACTTCACAAACAGGTAATCAAAAGGGACCAAAATTAAGAAGGAAAAACTAGAGTTTAAAAAAAGATAAGTCAAAATTCTCTTTATTGCATTTTTTAGGAAACTAGTGAGGCAAAAGCTAAACGAAGGTAAAAAATTTTGGTCTCTGGGTGCATGGAAGGAAAGAAAAGTAGAGAAAAAGAGAAGAAAACGAGGTAGAAATTGTTTATAGAAGGATAGGGTAATTTGTTAATGGTTAATTATTTAACTTTTTGAGTGTATGTTTGTAATAAAAAAAAATTAGATGTACCAAGAAGAGAAATTTTATTTACATTCCATCATTTACATTTCACATTGTTTTTTAAATTAATTTTGAATGAAATTATTTAATTATTTTTTTAATATCTCTTTTATTTTTTAAGCTTTTGAATTTATAAATTTGAAAATTGTTAAAAGTTTCTAATTTGTATATTTATAAGCTTTTAAAAGTTTTTGAATTTTTTAAAAGTTTAAAACTTTTTATAAGATATATTTTTTCAATTAGGTTTTATTTTTCAAATTTAAATGTAATTTTTTAAAAGATTTTAAGATACGTAAATTCATAAGTTTTTAAAAGTTTTTAAATTTGTAAATTTAAAAACTTTTAAAAATGTTTTAATATGTTAAATTAAAAACTTTAAAATTAAAGGGGTATAAAAAAATAATTAAATAATTTTATTTAAAAATAATTTTAAAAAATAAAAAATGTATTTAAAATTATTCAAAAAAAAAAAGGTTAGGGTGTAAAAAAAAAATCACACTTGGAAAGGGATGGGCAGAGTGAAGACATACAACTTACTCGTTACCAGTTCTGTCTAGCAATGGAGTGGAGTTTTGAAATTAGTACCATTATCTATGTACCATATAGCATTGCAATTGTAGTGGTGATTTTTGTTTTTAAATTGGCTCCAAAGTAATTAACAAAAGAGAATAGAGAGAAGGGTGGGACAATGGAAGGAAGGAAGGAAGGAAGGAAGGATATCCATAATTCCATATCCTCTTGAAGTATTAAGAATTTCTTAAGATTGTTTGGATATTCTAATGGTCTGATCCCTCGCAAATGAGACAGTGGCGGATGAGCAGAAAGAATCAGAACAATACTCTTTCTCTACTTAAAAAGTAAATATAAGTGGGGATTGACAGGGCATTCCATTTTTTTTCTTTTTCTATTTTTGTTGGGTGATGTAAAAGTAAAACCATTCCAATCTTCTTTTTCTTTTGGATTTGGATTTGTATGGAGATAATTTTGCATACAATTATAGTAATGGCCTGTAGGTGTTAGTCGTAAGAAAGAGTAAAGGGTGTAGGCTGGCGGTGGTTTGGACTTCGGTGGTGTGGTATGGTAGGTCCGCCTTTCTTTATTGACCTTGACTCTTCTTCTCTACTACTATTTTTTTTTTTAAATTTTAAACCTGCTTGCATCTATTATCTGTCCTTCAGTATTTCTTCCTAATCCTTACCTTTATTTATGATTCATTTACCATTCCATAGTATTTCTGAAGAAGGCCAGGCTAGGCCAGGGGCAGGAAACTCTTTCCATTTTCTGCTTTTGTTTTTTTAACTGGTACTGCTACTAGTAACCCAGAATAGAATTTAGCACATAGGACGGTCATAATTTAGCAAAAGAAGAAAGAAAGGAAAAAAAAAAAAGGAGTTCAAATATAATAGCACACACAAAACTCATCGTATTCGTGTCGGTGGAGTGAGCAATTCTGAAATGGGGATCGTTTCTCAGGAAGCGATCGTTCAGTTGCAGGCATTGATGGATCCAGGTCTTTTCTCTTTGTTTTTTTTTTTTATTTTCTTTTTTAATTTCTTTTCTTGGAAACTGGAAACTCAACCCATCCCATAATTTCTGATTATTTGTTACTTTTATGTGATGTTATGGCAGTCGATGAGCCCCTCAACAAAACATTTCAGGTACGGATTTCACCCCCCTTTCTATTCATTTTCTTTCATCTCTCGTCTCCAATCTTATTCAACGCCAGTCAAATGTCTTCTTTTATCACTAAATTATTTTCTTTTTCAGGTAAACGCTTCAATTCTGTCTTTGTTTTCTCATCACCATTACTAGTATTTACAATTCTCCACACCCGATCTGCTCTTTTGCTTAATCTAATTGCCATATCCCTGCTCTATATCCTTTGCTTTCTTGCATTTTACATTTTTATTTTTACTTCAAATGTGAGCTTTGCTACCCATGTCTTTCTTCTTTATTTTTCTTTCTTTTTAATTATTGGCACTCCGATCTTAACTTTTTTAGCAGATGCTTCATCTTTCCACCTTGTGTTTTACAACTTATTGGGGGTTCTGATTATCTACAATCCTTTTTTTCTGAATTCCACTGTCTCATCAAATGATACTGAATCAAGTATCCTATAAGTAGCCCTTCCTCAAAAGTAGGAAGTTAGGCAGATTAAAGAATGGATGCAATTACAAAAGATGCAATTACAGCTGTCTGAATGCTCTAGGAAAACAGGATGTTTCATTTCAGCTTCACTGGATGATCTGGATTTGTAGTAATTGTTTCCCGACATGCAGAATGTTCATCAAGGTTATCCAGCTGAAACATTGGTGCGCTTTCTAAAAGCAAGAGAGTGGAATGTTGTCAAAGCCCATAAAATGGTTAGTTAATTGAGTTAGATAAACCCAAAAGACATCTATCCCACGTTCCTTCTTGAGTTTGAAAAGCAGGAAAAAGAAAACTGTTGTTTTTGTTTAGGAAGTATTTTGATCATGATGTCATTTTTGTATGACCAAATCGATAACGGTATCATGTTTCAGTTGTTGGAGTGCTTGCAGTGGAGGGTGCAGAGTGACATTGACGATATATTAGCAGTAAGTTTATGTATCTCAGTTGTTGCATCTAGGTTGCAACTGATGGCTTTTCTAAGTAGACTATTTTGTTGATGCTTGTCTATGCTTTTTACCGTTTAAACAAGCAGCACAAATTGGAGAATTCAGACAGTTTTTTTATTTAATGATATGTCCCTTCGATATGTCTCAAGGTAGATTATAGTTTTTCATGATCATCATGTATGGCTAGATTGTTTAAACGATGTTTACATTAAAATTGATTTCATTAGTTCATGTTATTGACTGCAAGATTTATGACATATTTATTTGTTGCTAAATAATAACTCTATTGTCATCGCTGTAAGCAGCAATTCACCATGCCTATTTTCTCTCTCTCTCTCACACACACACACACAAACACACATACACATGCATGTGCACGTGCACACACACATGTAAAAATATCAACCCTATCTTGTGGTTTCTGCTATTGCATGCTTTGGTCTTATATTAAGTTGTTTGGTGATTAATTCTAATGTATAAAACTGAGTCAATGAGAGTTACTAAGTAGTTCTGTTTTTATTGGATGTAAATCTATTCTTCAGAAACCCATAGTTCCTACCGAACTTTACAGAGCAGTGCGTGATTCACAGCTCATAGGAATGTCTGGCTTCTCAAGAGAGGTGCTTGTACTTTTCTAATTTAATCTGGTTTAGTGCTTACATTTTCAATCATACTAGGTTGTGCTTCATTCAGGACACAAAGACACTTGATTATAATGAATTTATGATACGAATAGCCTATCCTCTCAGGTATGTTATTTAATTGTTACTTTTTCCATTTCCAGGGGCTTCCTGTCTTTGCTAATGGTGTGGGACTTAGCACGTTTGACAAAGCATCTGTAAGTTTTATGGTAATGTGCATTACATGTATTCTATTGTTGATCATACGACAACTAATCTTTGGTATTTATTTGCTTCTTTTATTTTAATTATAGGTTCACTACTATGTGCAGTCACATATTCAAATCAATGAATATCGAGATCGTGTAATTCTGGTGAGTAATAGAGTTTGGAAGTTTCCTATTTCTAGGCTTTTCTGGTTATTTGTTTGACTTTTATATGCTGCTATAGCCTTCTGCATCTAAGAAGCATGGGCGACCTGTAACTACCTGTATAAAAGTGTTAGATATGACTGGCCTGAAGCTTTCAGCACTGAGCCAAATAAAGGTATTACCTCAACTTTAGCTGCTATATTTTGTTCAATTGGACTTGAATAGCAGGATTTGCAACCTATATGCATTTGTAATTATCTTATGTTGAATCTCTAACACTGATAATTCTGATGTAGATAAATAAAAGTGAAAGGAAAATGTTCATAAAAAATCTTGAAAGATTTTAATAATTAAATCTTGAGAATAAGCTGCTGAAAAGGTTTAACAAAGGGAAAAGAAGAAAAACTCAATGTTAAATTGGCTATTTGCACATTCCAAAATTTTAAATGGTTGATTGGATTGTAACCTCATGGATTGGTATGGTCACTAAATGTATTGTGTTAACACAGTTGTTGACAATCATCTCGACAATTGATGACTTGAACTACCCAGAGAAGACAAATACGTATTACATTGTAAATGCTCCATATATTTTCTCTGCTTGCTGGAAGGTAAGCGTTTGAATTTGTATCTTTTACCCGGTAAATGGTTTTGACATGGATTGATATAACCTTTGAATTTTTAGTAGGTTGTCAAGCCCCTCTTGCAAGAGAGAACAAGGAAAAAAATTCAAGTGTTACCAGGTTGTGGGCGAGATGAGCTGTTGAAGGTATGGTGTTTTCTCATAATTCCTTCAAATATTGAAAAATATGGGTTCTCTAAAATCGTTATCTTCAAATGTTTAGATACTCAAAATATCATCATTCCTGACTGTCTCCCCGCTCTCTCTACCTTATTGAAGTTGGTTGAGGCAGTACTGGCACTTGAAGATTTTTTTTTTTACCTTTTCCGTTAACTGCCCGAGCCTTATATTATTATCACTACACTTTTCTTCCACAGTGCTGAAATTTCAAGTAGGGATTACAATTTCTGCAGTTCTTCTCTGTTCCATTCTTTTTTTTTGTAGTAAAGGGGTTGCCAATATTCTAATTGTCGTATTCTATTGTCATCATTGTGGCTAGAATACAGAGCATACATACAGAAGAGCCATGTATTCCACTTTCTGTTCTTTCCTTCTCTTTGACTACTTCACAAGTCAGTTAATCTTTGTTTCATTGTCAGTCCATGAGTAACAAGTGCTTCAGAAGTCCAAACATAAGTAACTAATTCACTTAGATATGCTCTTATCCTTTCAAATAAATAGCAAATCATCAGGTTAGACATCATTTCAGAGCCACATTTTTTTGCTTCAAGAATACTAATTATGTTGGTTGTATATTTTATTTATAGATAATGGATTTCGCATCACTGCCACACTTCTGTAGAAGAGAAGGGTCTGGGTCATCTCGCCATTCAGAAAATGAAAACTGCTTTTCGCTGGATCATCCTTTTCATCAACAGCTCTACAACTACATAAAGCAGCAGTCCTTGATTACTGAACCTGCTCAACCTATCAAACAGGGATCTTTTCATGTGGATCTACCTGATCCAGCCGCTGGAGGAACAGAGATTGCTAAAACTCTAGAGTCTGAGTTGCACAAGATTGAGAATAGGAATGGGCTATCTCGGTCTTTTAATGGCATCAAAATCGATGATGAGTGATGCTGTAGTGCTCTATGCATTTCTACAACTTGACTCTTAATTCCGACTCAGCATGTGTTGGCTTTGTTAGAGGGGGTATACGGTTTGACTACCATTCCTGCTATAGGATATAAAGAAAAGAGTAACACAGCTCACATTATCTTTAGTTGAGTCTGAAAAAAGTTAATACAGTGTGTGATTAATTTCACATGTTGGCTGGAATGGATAATTAGCTTGAAGTTCGCCTAAGCTGACGTGGAGTAGGAATGCTATATTGCATTAATGAGTTTTCACCTTTTTTAGTTAATGACTTGAACAGAAAAACGAGAATTCTATTTCAGCCTTCCTCGAATTATTGCTTTAATTGATACCTATTGTCTAACGCAATGCAAGTAGTCCTTTATGGTTGCCGTATCAAGGCAACAAGTCTCCATGAGTTCAATGAAACGAGATCACGAGCTAAATTTTGAGAGTTGCTAGTTTACTAAAAATGCTTTTCAAGATCCAATATGTAACTTCATCGATCTTATTGTCATATATAATATGAGAAACAAAAATGGGCAAATGTTAACTCAGTTAGGCCTTGCTTTCTTCCATTCAAAGGAATAATTTCATCCCTCCTTGAATGTTTGTACAATCTTGATTGGTATCTTTTCGGTTGTTACAGGGTCCAGGACGCAGCTTAAGATGCAGGCATCTGTTCTTGTTGACGCCGTCTTCTAAGTTCACCCTCGATCACGCTCTGTGCCGCATCTGCCATCGTCGCTGACTTCTCAGCCAATTCTGTTGCTGCCTTGATTTCTTCAATTGCTTGCAAGCTTGCTTCCAACTTTTGATCTATCTCTTTTTTTCTTGCATTTATTGCTTCCAGCTCAGCCATTGCAGCAGCTATTTTCTCCTCTGACATATTTCCAAATTCATCTACTTTCCTTTTCAATGATTCAAATTCCTCCGTGGAGATTTTTATCTTGCGACTAGATTCCAGATTATCAATGTCCTTTTTTTCAGACAAAGCCTGCATTTCCTCAAGAGCCTTTTTCTCTGCTGCTTTTGCTTCTTCGGCCTGTTCCAAAGCAAGTTCTAGCTTTTGCTTTACCTCCTTTACCGCTGCTTCGGCGGCTTCAGCTTCTATCTTCAGCTCTTCCCTACTGTTCTTCATCTCCTCCGCTTCACTTCTTGCATTCTCAATTTCTGATGAAAGTTGCTGGAGTCTGAAATTTTGCTCATTATGGGCATTTAATTCATTTTTTTCAGCGACAGATTGCCTTTCTGCTTCTTCGTCCTTCATTTGAGTTTGTTGTTTCCTCTTCACCTCTTCCAGTTCCAGCCTAATGGAGCTCACTAATGTCCGAAGTGAGCATTCTTCATCCGCTGCGAGTTGCAGTTTTGTTGTAGCTTCATTAAGCTCTGCAGTTACAACTCTCACAGAATCCATTTCCAAAGCATGGACTTTTTTCATCTCTTCTTGCAAGGCTTCAACTTCCGCTGTTGTTTCCATGAGCTTCTCCTCCAGATATTTCGTCAGCTCAGGATCATATGCTTTCCTCGACGATATCAATTTTTTTTCGGCTTCTTCCTTAGCACTCTTGTAAGATTTTTGTAGGGCATCTTTCTCTGCCGCAATGTTTTCCAGTTCTTGGTAGACTTGTTGGGAGGCAAACTTTACTTGCTTAATTGCTTCCTTCATAGCTGAGATTTCTTTTGAAAGCTCACTAACCCTTTCAGCGTGCACTTTAGCTGAAAGCTGTGCTTCTGCTGCTTGTTGGAATGCAGCCATTTTAGTTTCCAAGGCTGCATCAAAATCTTGCCTCACTTTATTGAGCTCTTGCTTTGCGGCATCAAGTTCAGTAGCAACAGAGATATATAGCTCTCTCGCGTAGTCCATTTCCATTTTCCTTGCATTGCTTTCTTGATGGTTTTTTGATTTTTGGAGTTCAAGTTGCCTAGCTTGTTCCTTCACTGCTTCTGTAGCTTCAGTTGCGGATTGTTTGGACTTAGTTACTGTTCTAAGTTTACTGGCCAAATCCTGCAATGTTCTCTTTGCGCTTTCAAGATCGGCATCTGCTTTAGCCTTTGTTGTTTCGGCATTCTCAAGCTTTTGCTTAATATAATTAAATTCTTTCTCTGCCAGGAGAAGCTGTGTCTCCCTGTCTATCACATTCTGGAAAACAAACATAAGGAAAATGAGGAGATTACAATTGCATATATGCATGTACTAGATATCTTCGGCTTGCTATAGCCTATATATAGGTATTAACTGGCCATTTTTATCAATGGCAAGTACTATATTTATCAGAAGAGGCAATATATATATATATCGGTATATTATATATCAAAAGCTTTAAAATCAAAATTGCAATAGCTGGAGCCGATGCAAGTATTAGGATTAAATTAGTTATTTACTCTATCAGATGATTATATATAATCAGTGGACGTTAGACAAGGGTACCTACCTCTGCAGAAAGCCTTGATTTTCTGGGAGTGCGCCTCTCCTTAGAAACAGCTACTTCCCCAAATAAACTAACAGCAGCTTTGACAGATTGAAACGGTGCTCTGGTATCAATCTCTCCTACCTCTGCCCTTGGTGAACCATAGGGCTTTGGAAGGCGTTCGCTGTTTGCGCGGCGGAAATTCGCCATTTTCTCTTCGCTAATAATTTTCCTAAAAAGTGTACCTGCACGAGAGCAGTTCGATTGCCATGATCTTTGTCAATTTGCTAGGCTACAGCTTATCATATGCAAAAAACACAATAACGTATATACACACTACTCCTAAGCTAAAATATTCATTCAAAATGCCAAAGAAAAATGAGAAAATTTTAAAAAATTCAGATCTAAGCAATAAGCCACCACTACAGAAATTTAGCACATTAATTACATATACATATCATCAAAGCAATCCAAGTATCTGTTTCTGCAACCTTCGCCGCATATATATAAAACATATATATATATATATATATATATAGAATATAGTATGTACAACTGACACGATCATAAACATGAGATGTAATTGTCCTCTAAATGATTATCAGATATGTAAAGGTTATTTTGCAACATGGAGTGGGGTCGTGTCATGACACGCCTCTAACTGGTGGTTTCATGGACGTTCATATTATTGAAGAAAACCTTGTTTTTCTTCAACTGGCAGACCTTCAGAATTCAGATGCATGCATTAATTATACTAGCACAGGTGGCTTTGTTAAGATGGCACTGGCCGAAAGCAGAAAATTGTAGCAGCAATGAAATGAAAATGATAGCAAAAGAAACCTGATGTGGATACACACGTTGAAGACGAAAACGATGTTATTGGAAAAGAAAACGGAAGCCTTGAACTTGAAGATGACGTTGGGGGTGTGGTCTGTTGACAACGAACAAAACAGGCCCAAAATGGGAGGGGCTGTTCGGTGTACTATTTTGGAAGTCGGGTAACCAACGTTTGCGGAATTTTAACGGTTAAAATTTTAAAATTAAATTAAGAGTAACCTCGGCTTCCCACAACCACATATATACAATACAATAAAGAAGTTTGTAATTGGTATTTTTGGATTGGTTTGTTGATCCTTGAAATGAAATTTGCCTAACGTTTTTCCCATGTAGCAACAGCTGCAGCTCACTTCACCCAGATTATCGCTGTCCCAACAAGATCTCTTCCCTAATTAATTTTGAATTACTTGATACTATTATAGTTAATTTATATTGGAGGACCAGATTACATTAGGACGGTTAGTTAAATTTCCTTCTTTGAATTTTTATTTTTTTGTTTAGCATCATTAAAATTTTGTATTTACATGGACAAGAACAAGAATTTTACAAAAAAAATAAAACCTTAATGATACGAGTCATAATGTATAAATTCGTATACTTATTGCTAAGTCTAATTTTATGAGTTACCAATCATTTTTTTTTTTAAGTTTGATTTGTTACATAACTGAATATATCTCATTTTTAAAAAAAGTTTCAAATTTGACTCGGATATTTATAAAATGTATATTTTAGTCTATAAAATAATAACTAAATCTGATTGTACGGTTATGCATAAAGAAAGTTATAACATCATTATAACGCTTATTAAAAGATAATGCCAGTTTAATTTTATATTATCCAAACTTTAAAACATATTATCAACTTAACACATAATTTAATTATTAAAAATTATTCTTAAAATTACTCAAATAATTTAGTAACAATTTAAAATAATTTTTCACTTCAAGAGTATTTATAGAGATTAATGTCCCACTTTGAAAAGACTTTATCGTCAGATTCAATAACATATTTTCTTTGAGTTAATTATTTTTTTAAAAAATCATTAAAATATTTCAATAATTTGGTAAGATTTTATTTCGATGTATACCCTCTAATAATTTGGTAAAATTTTTTATTCAAAAATTTATCCATGAAAATTTAGAAAAAGTTATTAAATCTTCCAATAATTTGACAAAATTTAATTCAAGATTTAAATCTTTCAATAGTTTAGTAAGATTGAAAAAAAATATTTTGCAAGAAAATTCATTAAGTCCTCCAATAGTTTGGTAAGACATAATTAAGATATTTAAATCCTCCAATAGTTCGTTAGAATTAAAATTTTATTATTTTTTTAAATTTTATTATGAAATTCTCTAATAGTTTGATAAAATTCATAATTAAAAAATTTAAAAACCCATGAAAATTCTCCATTAATTTAGTAAGAATCATGAATTTATTTTTCAAAAAATTAAAAAAAATTCTATTTTTAGAAACATCAATCAAAATAAATATAATTTAAATAAATAAATAAATAATAAAATAAAATATCAAAAAGGAAATCAACTCGGCTTGGCTTAGGATGCGATTTGACTACAGAAATAAAACCGACTGGAGTGGCTTGGATCATGGCTCGGCTCGGCTTAGGCATTTGCTGTTGGAACAGGTTACATGTCGAGTTAAGTAGTGCGGGTCAGATTTGCCTTTGGGACAACACACAAATCGTAAGATTTATTTATGCTCAAAATGGCACCATTTTCGGATAGCATAAAAAGTCTAAATGTTTTCTCTTTCCTTAGAATTCTCTTGCTTTTACTTTTTCTATTTTCTCTATATACCAGAATGCTTTACCTTTTCTTCTCTTTTCCAGGTTTTGACTACCAAAATTTTCAATGTTGCGGGAATATTCACCAGTTTCTGGGGTTTTCAAGGGTTTTAGCCTAAATGTTCTTCAAGAATTGGATTTTCTCACCAAAATCTAGATTTTTGTTAGAACTTGATTGAAAAGCTTGAATTTGATAAAAAAAAAATTCAACGAAAATCTTAGAATTTTCCAAAAATTTTGCAAAAAATTGCTCTTTTGCAAAATCCAATCATTTCAAGTTGTTTCACACACTATCTTTCTCAAATTAAACCGAAACCACTCATAAAATGAAATTCCACCAAAACCAGAACACATGATTTGTTGCCAAACTCCTACTCTCACTTTTTCTATGTTTTTTTCTCCAATTGCTCTTTGTTTTCTGTGTTGAGAATAAGTCTATTTATAGGAAAAGATTGGCAGAATTCTTGATTATTCAGGATTTATTTTTTCAAAATTTTGTATTATCAAAAGATCAACACTTATCTTGCAGAATTATAACTCAAATCAAACCTTATCACCTAATTTCATCAACGGCCCCTTTCCTATTTAGATTTTGGCAAATCAATCCCTTTTTTTATTTTAAAATTTATCATTTTTTTAAAAAGAAAACTAATCAAATAGAAAAAGGTAAGTGTTTAAAGATAAATAAAATTGAAATTAAAGATAAACCATAATAAAAAATTAAAACAGATATAGAAAAGAATAAAAATAAAAATAAGTAAATAAATAGAATAAAAGATAAATATATATTTATATACAGATAAATACAATAAAAGTAAAAACATAAAATGATAATTAAAAATAATAAACATAAAAAATATAGAAAATTGGACGATTGAGCTTAGATCAAGTTTAGGTCCTATTAGTTTGGTCCATGAACTAAATATGATGTTTATAGTTGTCTCTCTTTGTAAAGTTTCTATGAAATAGGAATTACGCAAAGATATAAACATCTATTACGTTCGAACCCAAATTATTCAACATTTCTTGTTTTTTTATTTGTTTTTTTTTTTTTTGTGAAAAGTTCTCTAAAAAAAGAAGTGCACCACTAACAAAAATCAATGGCTTCTTTAATATGAAGATAACTTTTTAAAAAAATTTAAGACTCTTTCAATATAAAGGCACACAACTTTAAAAAAAAAAATCAAAGGCTTTTTCAAGACAAAGGCACACAACTTTAAATGTAAGGATGATACTCAAAGGTTTTGATTATCATGCTTAGAAGTCTTATAGATCACGTCCGAAGAAACCAGGAGATTATACTGAAGGTTTTAGAAATCATCCTTAACATTAAAAAATGCTCATTTAGAATAAAGGCTCCATAACTTTAAATTTTGGAAAAATCTTTCTTACTCATGATTGATTTTCTTAAAATGTCATTCTCTTTCGAAGATTAGAATCTTACCTCAAAGATTTCCTTTAAATAGACAATTTGAAATCTTTCCCTAAAAAACTTTAAGCTCACATTCTCCATGATAAACCTTGCAATTCTTTATTTTTTAGATGCATGCACTAGATGTTTTTGCATACAATACATGTAATGCAAATGTCAATTAATGCATTTCCAATTATGGTACATAGGTTCTCAAGACTTTTTTTTTTTTGATTTCAAGCTTTTCAAGTCCTGGGCAACAAGAACAAAATCAAAGTGGTCTTTAATCATCTTTCCCATTCAATGTTGGTACCTATATTTTTCTATAAAATGAACCTTTCTTTCATTTCCAAAGTCAGTATCCTTACCAAGCCTTGAATGTTTCATCTTTGCCTTTGTCACTTTCAACTTTCCTAAGATAATGTAAGAATCTTTTATGCCATTGCTCATTTATCAATCATTATTTCAATTTCAAGATGCAATCACACATTTAATCTATTCATTGCAAGGTATTTAAAAGGAAAAGATTAGATTGAGAATGAAATATAAGCACTAGAAAGAAAAGAATAAGGAGTGAAATGAAATATCTCTTATTTAACAAGGAATGATAGAATAATTATGGCAACTAGATAATGTAAAGGGGAAAATTACAAAGATGAATATTTGGGACAACAAAGCCTAAAATGAATAATTAGATAATCATGACACTATATCTTGAATTCTTTCTAAAAAACTCAATCACATGATGCACTTGATACCTTTGAGCTTATCAAAACAAGATAGCCTTCATGTTGGCAAATTCCTAAATTATGTTTTACTCTCCCCATCTAAGCTATCTTTTCAAGTTTTCAACTTAGATAAACCTTTTTTTGGGTTTTCGATTTGAGTCCACTTTTTTCTTTTTTTTTGGCTAAGTATTTTTTTCACAGTATTAAAATTTATAAGATCAAGTAAATCATCTCTATCCATTTCTATAAAGATTAGTGCTCCACTCGAGAAATCTTTTTTTACAATATATGGACTTTTCCAATTCGATGTTCATTTTTTTCATTATTGTGCTGACTTGGGAGAATTCTTTTCAAAACTAACTCTCTTTCTCAAAACTGATAAGGTCTGACCCTTTTGTGGTGAGCTCTCATCATCCTTCTCTGATATAATTGGCCATGGCATAATGTCATAAGCCTTTTTTTTCGATAAAATTCAATTGCCTATAATGCTCTTGGATCCATTCGACTTCTTTTATTTCAACTTCCCTTAGGACCCTCAAAGATGAGATTTTTACTTTCACTAGCATCATAACTTCCATATCATAAACAAAAAAAATGGGGCTACCCTAATAGAAGTGCGTATCTGATGTTCGATAAGCATACAAAGCAAAAGACAACTTCTCATGCCAGTCCCTATAGGTTTCAATCATCTTTTTTAGAATACTCTTAACATTCTTAATTGTAGCTTTAATTGCCCCATTCATCTTTGAACAATATGGTGTTGAGTTATGGTACTTGATCTTAAATTAGGCACATACTTCTTTCATCATTTTACCATTAAAGTTTTTAACATTATTTGAGATAATTCTCTTTAGAAGTTCATACTTGTAGATTATCCCTTTTTATAAACTTATAGACTACAAATCATGTCACATTTCTATATGAAGCTACCTCTACCTATTTCGTGAAGTAATTTATCATCACAAAAATAAATCTATGCCTATTAAGCTTTAGGGGTGATTGAACCAATAACACTCATGCCTCACATAAAGAATGGCCGTGTTGACACCAAGACATGTAAAGTAGTAGGCGAAGCATAGAT